TGGAGTGCAATGGCGCAATCTCGGCTCACCACAACCTCCGCGTCCTGGGTTCAGGCAATTCTCCTGCCTCAGCCTCCTGAGTAGCTGGGATTACAGGCATGAGCCACCATGCCCAGCTGATTTTTTGTATTTTTAGTAGAGACGGGGTTTCACCATGTGGACCAGGATGGTCTCGATCTCTTGACCTCGTGATCCACCCGCCTCGGCCTCCCAAAGTGCTGGGATTACAGGCGTGAGCCACCGCGCCCGGCCGTGTATTTTTCTTAAATTTCTGCAGAGGAAACAGTGCTGACCTCTAAAGTGGTAACTTAATCTGTCCTAATTCCTTCCTGGTTTTGCTAGTGGATTGAAAAAAAAAATCTGCCCTTATTGGGGTGCAGTGATCCTTTTAAAGCATAAGTGGCTGCAAACCCCAGTGGCTTCCCGTCAGTCAGCTCTGATTCTCTCTCTACAGACTCTCCTCTTCTCCCAGCCAGGTGAACTGACCTCATTGCAGGTCCTGGAACATGCCAAGTACACACCCATCTTGGCCTGCTCTCATCCTTCTACCTGGGACACTCTATCCCTAGACATCTGCATGGCTTTCTATTCCCCTTGAGGTCTCTGCTCAAATGTCTCCTTTTGGTGAGGCCTTCTCTAATCACTCCATGTGAAACAGCTTCCTCTCTCTACTGGCTCTGTCCCCTTTATATCTTCTTATCTCCAGCACTTTTCATCATCTGACATCCTGTTTATTTCTTGTCTGTCTCCTGCCAGTAGAATGCAGACTCCATGAAGCCCTCCCTTAAGGCTAAAGGGGAGATGTAATATTCTAATGAGAACAGTAGGGATGTGCCCATGAATCCTAAGGACTGGGGATTTGCAGGTGGGTAACACTGCAGACACAGTCTGCCATATGCCAGGCTCTCTTCTAGGCAATGGGGTTTCAGTGCCAGCACTTTTCACCATCTGACATCCTATTTATTTCTTGTCTGTCTCCTGCCAGTAGAATGTAGACTCCATTGCAGTGAGCCGAGATCACGCCACTGCACTCCAGCCTGGCGCCTGGTGACAGAGCAAGACTCTGTCTTAAAAAAAAAAAAAAAAAGAGAATGTAGACTCCATGAAGGTAGGGCTTCACAGAGGGGACAGCAGAAAAATAAACAGGATAGTTTATTTGTCTGTCTCTTGCCAATAGAATGTAGACTCCATGAAGCCCTGCCGTTAACCATATTTTAAGAGGCACTATGCAATACCAGAAATGTACCTTTGTTACCACACACTCCACATTACCTTGTATTATTCATTTTGTTGTCTTATGTACATTTCTTTCAATAAACTGTCAGCTTCTTAAGGGCAAGCATGAGTCCTATTGATCTTTGTGTTCCTGGTGCCCATTACAGTGCCTGGCAAGTGGACACCCAGCTAACCATTAGGTTGGTACAAAACTAATTTCTAAAGTATGAGTGAAATGTGACAAAATTAATGAATCTAGGTGCTTGTTCTTTCAATGTTTCTGTAGGTTTGTTATTTTTCTTTTCTTTTTTTTTTTTTTTTTTTTTTGA